GGAACCCGTCGGAAATCCGATAGTGGCTAGCCGGCGGGTGATCCGATGAAAGCTCCGCGTAAAGCGTAGAGTAAGTCGGATCGGACTTGTAGCCTCTGACGAAATGCGGCTGCAGATCGTCATCAAGGTCGAATGTCGTGGTCACAATGGCACAAAAGTCGGGCCGTCGTGAGAGGGCGTCCGCAGCTCGATTGGCGGGACCGGGAATGTGGCACGGRTCAAAGTCGAACTGGTCGATGTAATACATCCATCGACCGATCGTGCTAGTGACCGTATCCTGCGTTTTGTAAAAGGTCAACAGATTGTTGTCCGTATTCCATTTAAAATGCCGACGGCCGAGGAGAAAGTGGCGCCACCGTTTGAGAACGGTGACGAACGCGAGTAGCTCTTTCTTCCTAGCGTCGTCGAGAGTGTTGACGAGTGGCACCTTTTGGGAGAAATACTCGACCGGATGCCAACCATCTTCGTGACATTGTTCCAACACCGCACCAATACTGTATCTCGAAGCGTCCGTAGTCACTTGGGTGGGAAGGGTGGGGTCATATATACGGAGGGCAGGTGCGGCTTTCATTGCTGCCTTCAACGTAGTGAACGCGCCACGGGCTGCGTCGTCGAACTCGAAGGGCACCTTCGGGGACTGAAGTCTCGACAAAGGAGCGGCCACTTTCGAGTATGACTCGACGACGCTGATAATATCCAGCCAAACCCATGAAAGAGCATACATCCGTTGTGCAACGGGGTTTCGGCCAATCCACGATGGCTTGGATCTTGTCCGCTAAGGGACGAATGCCTTTCGGTGTAACAAAATGACCCAAGTACTCAAGCTCATGTTTGGCGAACTCGCACTTGTCGAGATTCGCTTTGTACTTGGCTAGTCGCAAACGATCCAGAACAACGCGAAGGTGTACGATGTGCTCGTCCAACGTCCTACTGTAAACCAAGATGTCATCAAGGTAGATGAGGACGCTGCGATCGAGCAAGTCGCGAAACTTAGTCGTCATCGCTGCTTGGAAAGTCGCGGGGGCATTGGTGAGGCCAAAGGGCATGACAGCCCACTCAAAATGCCCGTATCGCGTCTAAAAACGCGGTCTTGTACCGATCTTGAGGCTGGATTTCAATCTGGTGGTAACCTGACTTCAAGTCCAACTTCGAGAAGTACGTCACGCCGCCTAACCGCTCAAGAAGATCATCAATCCGACCGAGAGGGCCGGCATTCTTTACGGTTTGTGCGTTAAGTTTACGATAATCGATGCATAACCGTAGATCTTTGTTCTTCTTCCGGACGAAGAGAACAGGGGCACCGTAGGGCGAACAACTAGGGTGAATCCAACCCTTGTCGAGAAGGTCATCGAGTTGTGCGCGAAGCACCTCGAGTTCCTCTTCGCTCATGCGGTAGATACATCCAAGCGGAGGGACGGCGCCAGCCTCGAGAGTGATCCCGTAACGTATGGGCCGATCCGGAACCGTTCCGGTGGGAGCCTCGAAGACGTCTCTATACTCGCCCAAGAGGTGAGAAATGCGTGGGTACGGCGGTGACGCGGCTGGTCCATCCGGCGAGGGGAGAGCATGCAAGAATACAAGGCCGATCTCCTCGACGTCATTCCGAGCAATGGCGTCGCGAATTCTCGCAGCGGAAACCACGTGACAAGCAATCGAAGTATGAGGGGTCGCAACCGTACATAGGACTAACACTCCGTTCCGATCACCGATGTGAACCGTTCGGTCATGGAAGTTCACCGGATGATCGGCGCTACGCAACCAAGACATGCCTAGAATCATGTCGAACTTGGTGTCGAGGATGTCAAAAGACATCGGCTCGCACGCAAGTGGCGCAAAGTATACCGGAACGTCGTCGACGCATCGGTCAATTGACTTTTGCGTGCGGCCGTCCGCGAGTGTAACTTGCGTAGGTTGCGTCTTCCTTCGAACGCGCGGGCCAAGACCTGCGCGGACCATAAAGGCTTGGCTCATAAAGTTGCGAGACGCTCCGCAATCAATCAAGGCACTACAGGTTGCCTTTCCGATGTGAATGTGGATATAGAGCAAAGGTGCGTCGGTTTCGGCGTACCTTTGGGTGGCGTACTCGCGGTCAATCTTCGCAAGATAGGAGCGGAGATCGACAACCGCTACCCCGTCGTCCGTCAACGGAGCTGGTACTGTAGTGTGCAAATAGGAGCGTAGATTTGCCATTAAGGCGTTGCAATGCGGCCTTGGCAAGGTTCCGGTCGAGGGTAGAGGCATCCAAGCGAAGTCCTCTCTCATGAGCGGGTCAAGCTCCTCAAGTCTTGACCACGCTGTTGAGTCCTCGGAAGTCAGTGTCGAACTGACGGATCACTTGCCGACGGTGTACAGGTTGCGCATACGCGATCTAAGTGCACGTGGCTCGGATGGTCTAGTGGTGGTACCAGCTGGGCGGCATAATCCTCGTACGAGGCACGAGGATCAGCGACTAACGCATGCTCCCCGGTAGTGACATCGATTGCTAGCAAGGCAACCGGGTCCGGCGGAGTGAGGAGAGACGTCGCCCCTCTCCTTGCGTAACTCAGTTTCCCGAATTTGCTGGACGGGGTACGCGTGCCTTGCCCTTTTCGGGGCATTGTGCGGTCAAATGCTTGACTCCATTGCACCAAAGGCAGTATCCGTACTTTTGACGAAGGTCATAGACATCCTTGGTTATCTTCTAAGCCGTTCATGGCTGCTGCCCAGTTCCCGTCGATGTCGTCTCTTGTGTCGCCTTGTTCTTCCGAACTCTCTTGGGACGCTTCGGCGGGAGCGCTGCTACAATTCCTCCATCACTCGAGGATGCTGCTGCAGCGTGGAGAACGACTGTTTCTTCGGAAATCACGACATTGTTATGTGTCGGTCGTTAATAGCCTTGCTTAGCCACATACTGCGGTTGGGATTGCCGTTCGTTTGCGGCCTTGTCATCCGTTTGGATGACCAAGTTCGCACGATCCAGGATGGCCTGGAATGAGGCGTAATCGTACTCGGTGCCGAGTGCGGTTCGCAGTCCTGCGCATGATCGCGAGAAGAACTCGGATCGTTGGTTAGGGAAACTCAAATCGAAGCCTGGCGTGGTCACTATCTTTTGCCACTTGGTTGTCCAGTCTCGAGTTGGCATACTCCCTTGTGAGCGTGTGTACACCTCGTTCATGGCCGCCTTCACGACGTTGCGGACCATGAAGCGAGTGAACCACAGTTGATCGAACTCCTTCCACGGAATGTGCGTGTGGAGTTCGGCGATGGTGCATTTCTTGGTAGCCGCCAGATGGTTCATCCATGTTTGCGCTCCTCCAATCAGTTGTAAGTACAGCGCCTTCATCATGTCGTCAGCCGGGACAGTGCGGCATGACGCTTCCATGAGGAAACTTTGCCACCATGTCAAGGCGTCCGTCTTGTTGTAGTCGTCGAACTTGCTGATGGTGAAGTGTGGCATCTTGTAGTTCCTTGTAGCGGAGTCCGGTCTTGTCTGCAGCTTGGTGATGTCCGTCTTGATGGCGGCCACCGTGCTGCAGATCGTGGCCGGACTGGTGAAATCACCCAGTTCGCCAATGATGGTGACGACGTGATCGATGCGCTCATTGAGTTGCTTCGTCGCGTCTGTCGTGCAGCCTGGCGCTGTTGAGGCCTTAGCCTCGATGTTGTTGACGCGCGCGGTGGTGGTGCTCAACAGTTGTTGCTGTTGTTGCTGATGTGTGGCGGCAGCGCGAACAGCAGTTGTTAAGGCTGCATAATCATTTTGCTGAATTTGTCGCAGTTGTCTGCCCTCGTGTATTTGCACCATTAACATCGTATTGTTCCACATGATTGCTCGCATCATATTCATCATCAGGTTAGCCAGGTTGCTCATTTCTTCCTCCGCCGGTGTCGGATCCGCCTGTGTATCCGAAGGCACAAACAGCATGCCTTGGAGCAGTGTCGTCCACTGACTCTCATTCATAGTCAAGGACTCCATGCAAATGGCGTTCCGCTTATCTCGCATCACGGCGTCAGCCTCAGCAGTCTGCTGAGCTTGGGTTGCCGCCTCACTGACCAGCCGCTGACGTTCCGCCTCTGCTGCTTCCTCATGTGCCTTTGCGGTAGCTACGGCATCAGTGAATGCCTGTACCCGCTGAAGGTAAGCTGCTGTAGCGGACCCACCAGGTGTGGTGCTCCGCTAGTGACAGAGATGGAGATGGAGGAAGAAGGGGGGAGTGAGAGGGCACAACGCAGCTCCCCACGCAAGACTCCAACGCACGTACTCCAAAATGTGCAAGTGAAGAATGAGACTGAAAACAGACAATGGCTGCGGTATACCCCAGCGGACTGACGGGACTGGACTGGACTGGCTGGTACCGACAGAGGTACCGGCCTGGACTGGCCTACCCCGAATACAACACAGGCCTGTGAGAATAGGCCAAGGGGCTGGTCTCACAGGCCAACCCGAGGTCCGCTACACGATCCTCGGCCTGTGATGGATCGCTTAGATACAAACATGCTTCGGCCAAGAAGCGGAACTCTACCAAAGAAAAGAAAACCTGAGCAGTCTAGGATGCGGAGCAAGCTCCATGCTGAGTCCATGCGATGCAACCTGGGATATAAAATGTCACAAAACAGCAATGTCACAGCTAACAGCCTAAGTGAAAGCAGAAGCAACTAACTAACATACATGTCCTAGTAAAGCAAAAGCAACTAACTAGCATACATGTCCTAGGAAAGCAGAAAGTAGTGACAACTAGATCCTAGAATGTTGGAGGCACTAGCCTCAGTCTGGTAACAACTGACTAGTGTATAAGTCCTAAGAACAGCAAAAGCAGAACAGCTAAATCCTAGAAATGTCGGAGGCAGTAGCCTCAGTTTGAGAGCAACAGAGCAATCAACAAGACAACCATATGTCACATGAGAAGTGTGTCGCAAACCAAAGGGTGGGGTGGTCTCTGAGGGTGGTGAATGCAGCCTAGGGGTC